ATAATTGTTAGTGAATAACCCCAAGTATTCTGGTTATTTCGAATGATAGATGTTGTATCCTGGTTGTTCCCAACAGTAGGTGTTTTATCCTGGTTATTCCCAATGGTAGATGTTTTATCCTGGTTATTCCCAACAGTAGGTGTTTTATCCTGGTTCTTCCCAACAGTAGGTGTTTTATCCTGGTTCTTCCCAACAGTAGGTGTTTTATCCTGGTTATTCCCAATGGTAGATGTTTATCCTGGTTATTCCCAACAGTACATGTTTTATCCTGGTTATTCCCAACAGTAGGTGTTTCATCCTGGTTATTCCCAACAGTAAATGTTTTATCCTCGGTATTCCCAACAGTAGGTGTTTTATCCTGGATAATCCCAACAGGAGGTGTTTTATCCTGGTTACTCCCAACAGTAGGTGTTTTATCATGGATATTCCCAACAGTTGGTGTTTTAACCTCGGTATTCCCAACAGTAGGTGTTTTATCCTGGTTATTCCCAACAGTAGGTGTTTTATCCTGGTTATTCCCAACAGTAGGTGTTTTATCCTGGTTCTTCCCAACAGTAGGTGTTTTATCCTAGTTATTCCCAATGGTAGGTGTTTTGTCTTGGTTATTCCCAACAGTAGGTGTTTTATCCTGGTTATTCCCAACAGTAGGTGTTTTATCCTGGTTATTCCCAATAGTAGGTGTTTTATCCTGGATAATCCCAACAGGAGGTGTTTTATTCTGGTTACTCCCAACAGTGAGTGTTTTATCATGGATATTCCCAACAGTGAGTGTTTTATCCTTGGTATTACCAACAGTGGGTGTTTTATCCTGGTTATTCCCAACAGTAGGTGTTTTATCCTGGTTATTCCCAACAGTGGTGTTTTATCCTCGGTATTCCCAACAGTAGGTGTTTTATCCTGGTTACTCCCAACAATAGGTGTTTTATCATGGATATTCCCAACAGTAGGTGTTTTATCCTGTACAACTGTAGGTGGGATTTGTCTATAAGTGATCAGTATATGATGGAGTTGTGTTACTTTACTTGAGCAGGAATGTTGGGGGACTTATTACAACATATAAATTGACATTTTATGTATGAGGGTTGATTGAGTTCTGGTTTAGGAGGCGATGGTGACATGGCTATGTTATGTCAGGTTACACCCATTCTCAGTAGCAAGCAGGACATGTGGAAAGTAGGGTAAACTTTGTTCCAGCATACCTGTCTTAATGCAGCAGTCAACAAGTAAAAATTAAATCTAGTAACAGACCAACCTGGTCTGTTTTGAGATGGTAATTAGAACAATTAGGCCAAAACAAGATATCATTTGTTCAAAATATCCCTGATTTTGTTGTATATGTTTGGTTTGAGCTCTATATGATATTGGAAAACCAGTATATATGTCTGTGTTAGCTGTGTCAGGTACAAAGTAATGGGTGCAATACAGTAAGGCAGTTCCAATATTGCACCAGATTTCTTCTACAGGCTAGAAGTTTATATGTGTATGCAGTCTGTGACTCAAGTCCGCTAGTCGAAATACCAAGTCAAATTTACTTGAGAACAGCAAGGGTACCATTTGAGTGTCAATGTTTGAAGAATATACTGAACTTGACTGTTCTGGTACTGCCAAATATGGCTGATGACATACTGCATCACTAAATATTGCTGTGGGCAAATCATTATTCTAGCTGTCATGTATTTTAGTAATCAAGAATTGGCTCATGTCTGTTTTGATATTGAGAGATTTCAATTATTTGAAATCAAATCTTTAGAAACTCTTCTTAAGATTTATATATGTGTTTGGTTTCTTTCAGTGATGGGGGTTTCTTGTCGCACAACACATCACGGGACACATATCCGGCACCTGCTCCAACCAAGGTTGTTAACTTCAACTCCTCAGAAGAGAACACTAGATCGGATCAGTACTATGATATTCCTGCATATGAAGAGTATATTGTGAGTATATGCGCTGTGTCATGTAACTATTAAGGCAACTCATATTATCTAATAATTCAATGTGCGTTCATTGTTAAGACTGACCAGTCCCGGCTACAGAAAATGATATGTTGTACAGCATAGTTGATGGAAGTCTGTTTTTGTGCAGTGTGTGAATGAATGTTCCCTTCCATGCACCAGACAGTACACAGTAAAGAATTAATGAGTGGTGGGTTTATGGGGCATGCAGTACACTGGCTTGTGTGTCCAGGGAGGATTCCTGACATGGACAAACTGTTATCTAGACTTTCTGTGCTGCATATTTAATGCTTAATACCTCCACAACTTCCATCATGACTACATCATTTAAGATGTGTTGGAGGAGACATTAGAAGTTGTTGCAGTATCACAATCAGTACATGTTGTTTTATTTTTCATGTCAGGGTTTGTACCACAAGTTGGATGTCAGTGGTAGTAAACCAAGCAAGGCACACATGATGGTCATAAAACACATTTATAGAATTAATTAATTGAGTGTGCATGCTACACAAGAAAATATGGTAGCTTTTTCACTTGATAGTAAGAATATTGTAGGAGGTGGGAACCACAGGAATGGAATGTCCTACTAAGAGTTGAGAAATAAGATTATGCATCAATATTGAGTGTTCAGGCACATTAGGTCTTGTCTGGAACGCTTTGTTTTTATCTCCCAGTAAGAGCCAAGCCTTGTCAACATCGATCCTCTTGGAGCTTGTCACCCTTGAAGTATGACAATTAACATTTGCTGCTTTATCCATTCATTTTATCAATTGAGACACAGTGTATGTGTGTTCATAGTGTCTTTCAATCTAATTATGCAAACATTTCAGAATTTTCCCCTTAATTGATTTTCACGCACATATTTTCCCAGTTTGGGAAGGAAATTGCTTTCCTCTAAGTGAGTAGAATAATTCAGTCATGAAAACAGCCCCTACACCATAGGGATTCACATAGCAATATTCCTGTTGTTACTGCCAGATCATAGAGCTATGATCTGAAGACAGTGTCAAGGATTTGCATACAACATTCAGTGTGTGTTGAAGGTGCCCCATATTATGAAAACAGTGCCCCACAATAGAGGATACCACAGACTGAAGTGCTGTGTTGGACTGTGTGCCTGAAGTGCTGTGTTGGACTGTGTGACTGAAGTGCTGTGTTGGACTGTGTGCCTGAAGTGCTGTGCTGGACTGTGTGCCTGAAGTGCTGTGTTGGACTGTGTGCCTGAAGTGCTGTGTTGGACTGTGTGCCTGAAGTGCTGTGTTGGACTGTGTGCCTGAAGTGCTGTGTTGGACTGTGTGCCTGAAGTGCTGTGTTGGACTGTGTGACTGAAGGGCTGTGTTGGTCTGTGTGCCTGAAGTGCTGTGTTGGACTGTGTGACTGAAGGGCTGTGTTGGACTGTGTGCCTGAAGTGCTGTGTTGGACTGTGTGACTGAAGTGCTGTGTTGGACTGTGTGCCTGAAGTGCTGTGTTGGACTGTGTGCCTGAAGTGCTGTGTTGGACTGTGTGACTGAAGGGCTGTGTGCCTGAAGTGCTGTGCTGGACTGTGTGCCTGAAGTGCTGTGCTGGACTGTGTGCCTGAAGTGCTGTGTTGGACTGTGTGCCTGAAGTGCTGTGTTGGACTGTGTGCCTGAAGTGCTGTGTTGGACTGTGTGCCTGAAGTGCTGTGTTGGACTGTGTGCCTGAAGTGCTGTGTTGGTCTGTGTGACTGAAGTGCTGTGTTGGAGTATTGTGTGTGTGAAGTAATGTGTTGGTCTATGTGCATAAACTTTGTGTTGAAACCATGTGCCTGAAGTACTGTGTTTGACTGTGTTAGAGGTATTGTGTCAGATTTTGCTTGTAGTATTGTGTTGTACATTGCTGTATATACTCAATAGGAATGTGTGTATCGCCTATGAGAACACTGTCGTAATGGAGGACAGCCCAAACTGAAGGAAGTATTGTTTAAGTGGACTGTGTCAGTCAACTGACTAGAACAGAAAGATGACTGTTTAGAAGTTTGATCCTCATGGGATTTGTTTGGGCAACTCTACAAGTTTTATCTTTTGTTTGTAAAAGTGCAAGTCTTTGTTCTTTGTTAACCATTAAGAGTAACATGATTAACATACATACTGTTATAACCAGAGCAGTCATGATGAGAAATCATGTGTCTTCGGTTGTTATTGGAGACACAGGATTTATGATTTTGTTGATTAGAGTGTGTGAGGGGGATGTGGAGCAGTCTGTAATTAGAGGATGAAGTTACAGTCAGGTTACAGACAGTTGATGAGATTAGGCCGTTGACAGACAGAAGGTGAATCAATACTAGTGTATATCTTCATTAGTATGGCCTGTCAAGATACCTTGAAAACAGGCACAAGAAACCACGACATGGTGCTACATCTGCAGTAGAATACAGACAGGGGACAGCTGGGGTCAGTCCATGGTGATACAGGTAGTGTAGAATACAGACAGGGGACAGCTGGGATCAGTTCATGGTGGAACAGGTAGTGTAGAATACAGACAGGGGACAGATGGGGTCAGTCCATGGTGATACAGGTAGTGTAGAATACAGACAGGGGACATCTGGGGTCAGTCCATGGTGATACAGGTAGTGTAGAATACAGACAGGGATATCTGGGGTCAGTGCATGGTGATACAGGTAGTGTAGAATACAGACAGGGGACAGCTGGGGTCAGTCCATGGTGATACAGGTAGTGTAGAATACAGACAGGGGACAGCTGGGGTCAGTCCATGGTGATACAGGTAGTGTAGAATACAGACAGGGATATCTGGGGTCAGTGCATGGTGATACAGGTAGTGTAGAATACAGACAGGGGACAGCTGGGATCAGTGCATGGTGGTTCAGGTAGTGTAGACTTTAGACAGGAAGACGCATTTATAGAACAAAAAGTTCTTCTAAAATGAAGATTGTATCACTTCGGCATAGGAACATGTCATCGAGTATAGCTCGCAGCTGCTTTTACCCAACACCAAATTATACATTGCTAACAGTGTTCTCAGTGCTACACTTCAGCTTCACTCACTCTCTTTTGAAGGAACTATTCAGTGTATACCTGTATCTATTTTATTTCATTTTAATCTAGTAATAAAAAAGTTGCTTTGTGAGGAGAGTATGAGAAATATTCAGTTGATGCTGTATTGTTTGTATGTGGAAACATTGTCCTGAAGTGCCATCTCTACACTGTGTACTGTGTCCAAGTAGCAGTCTATGGAAATCAATGAATATGCAGACTAAATTGGCCCCAGTTTTCCTCCCGCTTGTCCCTGCTCGGCAGATGATGGTCATTGATTACATTCCCTCCTTTGTTCTCAGCTGGGCATTCAGGGAATCTGAAAGACATGATCATATGGCGCTCATTTATGGGTCAAGTGTGTCCCTTTCCACCAGACACAAAAGGATAACAGAGCATTTATGTCAGGGATATTGAACTCAACCAGTTGTAGCTCAATAAGTCAATACAGAACTGACGCAAAGAGAATACACAATGAAATCTGAATGCCACACCAAGGGAGGTAACTCTTTCAGGACTGTTGATCAGGTACCAGGTGTAGCTGAGCTCACTTTGTGATGCATATTGGAACATTGATGCTATCTTTATTAAACACAGGGTTAGACATTGCCTTCTGTCTGTTGTTGCAGGACTATTGAAAGTCCAGTCACACAACTTGTTATGTTAAATACACCAGTAGTACCAAAATGAGGCGTGGGCAAGTTGTATTTCACTCATCCTGAAACATATTTTTTAATCAGAAAGGTGGAAAGCTTTGTCAATACAATTTGAAATGTACAATGCAATGAAAATAAAATATAAGAAAGGTGAAAAAATAACTTCAAACATTAGTTATCAATTTAAATAAAGTGCAAAATGTATTTGTTTTTTATTATAAGTTGTTAAATGGTAAACTTCCAGGTAGTGTCTAACTAACTCGCACATGATTGAGTGTTGGATATTAGCTGCAGCTGTGTGACAAAGATAAACAAGGCTGATGGCTTTATCAGGATACAGGCTGCTGTCCTCAATACCATTAACAATATCAACAGATTTCACCTAATGCATAAGCCTTAGCATTGTCAGTGCCAGCTTAGGCCTCTCTTTTATTGCTTGGGTTGTAAATCTGCTAACCTTAAAAATATAAATTTCAGAATAAATAATGTCCGGATGACTACGTTTTTTTACATATAACTGACTGTCAAAATCACTTTTACAATATAAGTAGGCATAAGAGTATTTGTTTGATTAAACAGGAATGTTTCCAACGATAAGTCAGCATTACAAATCAGCTTTTGTTATACTTTTGAGGAACCAAAGCAAGTAGAGATCATCACCTTCAGAGTTTATAAAGTAACTTAGGATGATTAGAAATATTCTGTACAATGCAATTTTCCGCCTGTTCCCCACCTACCAGCAAATATTTTCAGTTTAAAAAATTTGTTTACAGGTTTATATCATGTTTTTAATAATGTGCAAGCCTAACTTTTGCTAGGGGGTATTACAAAGCTGTTTGGGGCGGTAGGGTAGCCTAGTGGTTAAAGCAATCGCTTGTCACGCCGAAAACCCAGGTTTGATTCCCACCATGGGTACAATGTGTAAATCCCATTTCTGGTGTTCCCCGCCATGATATTGCTGGAATATTGCTAAAAGCGGCGTAAAACTAACTCACTTACTACAAAGCTGTGTTTCTACTAATATAGACGTCCCTTCAAGGGGTATATTCTTGTTCTGTTTCTCCATTAGGACACTAATACATGATTTAAGTACACTCCAGTGTACATTATTTTCAGTTCAAAATATAATATACGAATATTATTTTCATTTGTGGCAAATCATATGCCTTTCACATACCTACCCTTATTTTGGCAAAAATAGTGACTTTTGAAATATTTTGCCTTCTACTAGAAACTCCATGAAATGCGATGGGCCTGTCCTTTGTAACAACTGCATAGTTTATGCCAAATAAAGACTTGTATGGTTCTTATTCATGGTAATAGTTGTGAGTTCATAAAGGACAGTCTTGATATGTTGAAATGACATATCAGGATATCAAGTGTTTGGTAGATGTGGTTGTTTGGTAAGTGTTTAGCTTAGTGTCCTATGTCCAAGCTAATACACGTATCACTGACATGATATGGCCTGGCTTGTGTGTTGTTGCATGTGATTCATTGTTTGGGGTCGGGTGTGATGCAATGTGAAGAATGTGAGCTCTGGGGATAGTACAGACATTTTATTTCCCTATAAAGGAGTCCACAATGAAAATGTGCTGCTGGTATCACGCAATGCTGGCTGAAATAATAACACTGGGTTTAATGTGTGGATGGGGTTACTCAGGGATTGTCCTACTTCACTTGACACATATATGAACTGAAGTACGGAGACAATTATGCTGAGCATTTGATGTCTTGTAAAGTTGTTATTTGAATGAGGATTGGCAGATTTCCAAGCCCAACCCACTGCTTTGTGTCAGGTTGTAGGCGGGTACACACAGGACAACCGATCCCCACCCGCATTGTCAGCTAGTGCAGATGCAGCAAACTTACATTAAGTCTGTATGTTCCTCGAGTCTCTTGTGTCTGGGACAATCATGGATATTTTGATTTTTGACTTTCTGAAGACATTGAACATATATGAGAAAACTTACCTTCAGAAGTTATTTAACAATAAAATGAGTCGAGTTCGCACATCTATGAAGATACAACATGAATTTTGTATTTTAAGCTATTATCTTGAAATTGTATCCAATTTCATGCCAATACATTAATAGTTTCCCAATAGGACTACTGATGTAAGGCAGAACTTGATAGAAGTATTGTGACATTGTCTCTACGAGACCTAAAGTGTCTCTAGATTGTGAGTGTTTCTCTACTGCACATGAACCCTGTATCCACAAGATCTCACCTTTACTGTCATCATGAAGGGCACCTCGAGGGGCTATGTTTGGACAGTGATAAATGTCCAAGGCAGCCACACATTTACTTGTGTCTTCTGTGAATGAATGAACATTCCTTAATGTGTCCGGACCCGAGACTATCATGACCTAAGAGGGACTAATATCTACAGCCTTATCAGCCCGGCCCTTCACAGGGTTCTCGTTTACCCCAGTTCTAAGTGATCTTAAACCTCCTTTTTTAAAAACCTGATTTGAAACATTAACCATACACAAATCCAAACATTAGCTTACAATAGTCCCTTAATTACACTCAGTCAGGTTTGTTTTTAGTTTCAAATCCCTCCACAGATTTCACTTGTTAAATATTGTTAGAATTTGTTGACTAATCAGCCTAGATGTAGACAATGGAGACAGAAATAGTTTATCCTTGCCCTGTGCTTGCCAGCATGGATTCTAACAAAATTGCCCAGTCAGGCTGATGACAAGCAAATTAACAAACCCTGATTAATTAGTCATTTCATTATGAGGGTCCCAAGCTGGTGGTTTGAGGTGAGTGAGCTGGCTTACCTTGCTGACCCACACCAGGTGAGTGGAGTTCAGCCAACACAAGCCACCCTTCCTTGTTCCCTCTGGTATTCAGGAGCAGGGTACACTACCTCGCTATAGCACACAGCAATATTCACATGTGTTACTTCTGTAGTGTTGCTGCTGTGGGGAAAAATTGTTCAAATTGGACAATTAATAGTTCATGTGAATTTTTTTTTATCAGAGGCTTTGCTGTTAGCTTGGAAACATTTTGCCTTATAAAGAATATAGCGACACTATCAGTATACATTTAAAATCCTGATGTTTTCATGAATGAAATGTGGGCATTGAATTTGACTTCATGTAGGTAAACAAGCCAGTAATGCATTATTGACAGATATAATTTTGGATATGTAGAAGCCTTTGTATGACATAACCTAAAAATAGCATTCAGGTAAGGAGTTAGGAGCCATACCACAGAGCCAGCGAGGTAGCGCACGTCACAGTTGGTGTATTGTGTTATGAATGTATGCAGGGTCGTGTCACTGGTCTACATACAGGCCTGGTAGAGTGAGGCTGTCTCTTTAAACGCTAGACATCTACCAGGATCAGGGGCTCCGGTAGGGGCCTTACAACTCCACTGAAGCGGGGATCCCAGGCAGGATCATGAGACATAGGCAGAAGGGATTAGGACAGTCGGGATAGTCCACAACTGAAGCCTGACTGCACTGAACAGTGTCACCGATTACTGAGAGGACTGCCAAAGACTGGGATATTGCTGTCTTATCAAGGGACCAAGCTTACTTGAACAGCAATAATGGAAGTACATCATTCTTTTCATTCCCCTAAAGTATTCAAATATGGTTTTGTGCGGACAGACCTGTGATGTATGGAATTGGACAGCTATAAGACTGTATGTATTCAGGGGTGCTTGAAACTGGATTCACTGAGGGTCAAGTGATTATATAAGTGTGGATCCGGAATGTGTGTTTCAATGGTGTAACCCACATTGACACTCGTTTATAGCAGAGTGCATTCCATGCATGACATCAGTAAGACTAGAATCTGTCAAGGGGCCTGTTGAAGTCGTCTGTCAGCAATAGCAGTGAAGTTTTTAGTTGTAAAAGTCTGCAATAGCCCTGATCAGCTGCCTGGGCTTAAAGTCTGTGTCAGCGTAGTCATAGTGAGAGAGGTGTGCCCTGATTGTCTCATCAAAATGTACAAAGCTTTCCTGTAAAGTAAAAATGGCCTTACTTGATTCAGCTGACTTTACAGAGTTTGTAACGGCTGGATAATTGTTTTCAAGAGGTGACTAGCTGGGGAAAAGTTGCCTGGACAGTGTGTTGTGTGATCCCCCCTGTTGTGGACTATACTGCTGATAGATTGGATACATTGGATGATACCCAAACCTTTCCACAATTCAGAAGAGGATTTTGTTTTGAATCGATAACAAGGTTTTCATAGCAGGAAGGGATATCCCTGTGACAGGACTAACCACTTGCTCTGCCAGATAATGCAGAGTCTATAAAAGGAATTACAGATATTTATTACACAAGATAACGCGTCCCTTATTTTGTGTGACACTTGGCTAATGTGGGACACAAGTTAAGGAAGGTGTTTGTGAAAGATGTGGAGTGGTTTTAATAGAAAAGTTGTGTCATGAGAATGTGGGTGTTTGTGTCATCTCTTCTGACAACTGTTCAAGCATTGGAGGAAAACATAGCATGTCAACACAAGTAGATGTTTGACTTCAAATTGGATCAAGTAATTGACGTAATATGCATCAACTGGCAAACACAAGAGCTTGTTCAGCTTAAGAACAGGTTATGATTATCAACAATATTCAGGTTTACGTATGTGATTACTCCAGATACAGCCATTGTTAACATACCTAAGGATTACTGTGTAAGAATATACCATCCAGGTGTCGAAGGTTGTACTGCTCAGTTTGAAGCAAGTGGGCAAAGGGATTGATTGTATGGTAAGAAAATATAATTTTTGGGTATATAGAAACATTTTAGAGAGGATCTTGTGGTGTCCCCACTTAAACTGATGGTGGTCACAGAGATGGTGGTGTTTATGGCGAGTCCATTTGAGCGTGGATCACAGGCTTTTAGGAAGGAGCAAGTGTTCCAGCTTGTCCGATCCAGAAGTGTCAGACACTCTGTAAAAACTGGCAGTGGTGAAATTGTGACGACTCAAAATGGAGTTCAGCCCGAGTCTGCTGGGAAGAGAGGAGACACAAAGCCGGAAAACAGTGTGGTGCAGGAGAAAATTTCACCAAGAAGGGTTGCTAATGGTTCAGTCCAGACTGGTCTTTATTCTCGAAGTAGGCATAAAAGCTTCGAGCATTTACCCACCTCCCAAACTGTGCATGATGATTATAAGGTCCTACAGTCTTCCAGTTCTGTAGATTCTGAATTAGATAAAACAGATTCATCAGAACAATCTGATAAGAAAGTTTTACCAATGATACTTAAAAAGAAAATCAAAGTTATACGAGGGAAAAAGGGCTTTAGAATAATTTCAGGTGACAAGGGACGTTCATCTATTAGTGCTCAAAGACGCTCCTTATTAAGTGCTAATGAAGAAGTGCTCACACAAAGTGCTCAAAGCAGACCTGAATCAACAGTCTCTGTATCTGATCTCACTCATAGCCATGACAAGTCTGTTGCTCGACGTAGTAGTGATCATCCACATGTGCCAAAAACTACAACAGAAGTTGATAAAGGAAAAGGAACCAAGTCACGAGTTTCATGGTTGGACCAGGAAAAACATCCTCAATTCCAGGCAAAGCTATTGGCTGAGCATCTTCCTCAGTCAAATGTTTTGCCAAAGAAAGACAAGGTGAAAAAGTCAGTTAAATTTCAGCTAGACAAAATAGAAAGTGATCAGTTAAAATACATTGGAGATAAAGTGTGTGTTGGACAGAGTGATAGTGAACTGATGCAAGTTCCCCGGGAAACAGGGTTCCAGCTGATAGGGGTTCAGAGAGATTCTTCAGTGGAGAGATTGAAGAGAGATGTAGAGAACCGACTACATGTGGATGGAAAGACCCATTCTGATGGAGGTGAAAAGAAGGAAAATAGTTTCACTGTGAAGCCTGTTGGAACATCCCAAAGATTGCTCAGATCTGGTGCCTCTTTTTCTGGTGTTACAAAACAGTCTCTAACAAAGGAGAAGGTAGTTTCAGGATTTGTGCGTAGGAACAGCATCAAATCCCTTCAACCAGCCGAGCATCAGGACAGCAAGCTGGTTGTACGAAGATGTGTTATTGGAGGTGCCCTTACATTCAGAGTTGTTCAGCTTCCACCTGCATATGAAGGAGTAAGTGAGGGCTATTTCAGGGATGTTGGCAGATGAGTAGAACTTAAGAAGGAAGTGTTTTTTAACAATTACTTCTGTCAAGATAAATGCATTCATCTGGGAACACTTGAGCTCCTAGTGTTCTTTGGTGTGCTGTATGTAATTGATTGAAATATTTAAGTGACATGTTGTTATCTGCCATAAGACATGCAGGTTTGCCTGGAGTCATAGAAAACTGTCAGTCATTGCCTGTGTTCATTATAGGAACTACATTGACATTGTTCAACGCTAGCTAGTGTCTTTACATGTATGAAACCTCCAGACCAGCCTTGATATGGTCCAAGTTGATTTGACCAGTGTCAACTGATCAGTTATTTGAGGTATGATGGAAATGTAGGGGTTGAGGGAAGTTTAGTAAACTGTGGCCAGTGTGTGTCAGGCTGACTGTCACCTCACTGACCTAGCTATACATCAGACTTAATGATACTAAAAACAATCAGTGTTTAAACTTAGCTTTGGAGGTTATTGTTTAAGATATGAAAGAAATATGTGTCTAGTTTCAAGCAGAGTGAGTGATGTTCAGTTTGTCCATGACACATGCCATGTTAATGTAGGCTGACACAAGCATGACACATGTTCTGATCATGCCCCACCTCCAAGAGTGGACCTGCTGCCACACATTCACTCCTACCTTCAGTCACAAATACCTATGTTCCTACTTAATGTCTTTTTCATTCAGTGTGAAGTTTTTCTTTATGTAATTCAAGGAGTAATAGTTGAATTAGAACGTTCCATCTGTTCTGGATGATTAGGTCTGTTTCTTCTTGTGGTAAAGAATGTGTCTCCAACTGAACATTGCAGGTGGGCGTAAGCAGATGTGTATAGCAAATGTTACTCACCTTATACTTCCGTTTACATGGGCTTTCTATTGTCATGTTTTTATTAGTTCTCAGTAGCATTTACATAGAATACAAATGCTCAGTGCAGTGTAGTGGTAATAATTTGAAAGCCATGTTGAGTATACGTTAGCATTGTGTAATGTCAATGAGTTGTATGATACATGCCCTGCATGCAGGGCTTCTGTATGTCAGGGGTATTTATAGAGGGCATTAAGTAAGGTGAATCTGGTATGTCGGACATGCAGACAGGGAGATGGTTGCCGGATTACATGTGACTGGCTTTGTGCGGTTGAGGCTGGCGCCTCTCCCAGCTCTACCTGCACCGATCAACTATGTGGCAGGAATTCACCAGGTCAGCGTCTACATTCAGTGAAGGGACATTTATAAGCATGACATGCATGCAGATATATCATGTCATACACAGTGTTTTGCAGTCGAGCTTTATTTATGATGCCTGTAAATATACCAGCTGAGGTCTCACATAAATGAAGGAAATAAATTCTGTCAGCTGAGGTTATGAACATGAAGTTTAATCTTCTTCATTATATTTTCCTCAAAGCTGTCTTTCCTGTTAGTTTGCACAGTTCAGATATTGCTCACTGAATTGATTTTTCTGAATGCTTCCTTTCCTATAAGCAGTGTTCTGCCTTGCAACCACAAAACGGCCTGCAAGAAATTACAGGGCTTAAAAGAGTTGACAAACTAACTGGAGAAGTCATGTGGGTTAGATAAACTGATTTGTGTGTGTAGCTGCCATTGGATGATAGGGCAAGCAACTTCAGCGGTCTCATGTCTAGCTTTCTCCATCAGTGGACTCGCAAAGGAAGAGTACTTTCATCAATGTCATTCCCTTGGCACAATACCTCTTCATCTTATGAGGCCAGATTGATAATAGAAGAAGGAAGCATAAAGCCTAGCATAGAGACTCCTTGAAAGTTTTATCACAGTTTGATATTAAATGAGGACTCATTAATTCAATCACTATTCCCTACTTGTTCACACTGGCTGTTTGTATTTCGAGATGCCTCTAAAACTGGCAGATTATTGTGGATTTAGGCCTGGACATTGATGATTGTCATAAATCCTGTTTAGGAGGACATGTGGACAGAGCTGGGACATCCCTTCCTTGTCACATCTGTCCCCTTGTCAGGTTGGCCTTGTCTGGCCACAGGACCACTATCATCACTGGACAAACACTTCGTCTTCCATTGTCTGAAACAAAAACTCGAAACATTTATGGTTAGCTTATGGTTGTTGATTCTTTCAATTAGGAGAAAGGTTTGCTAGTAATCCTTCATTTATTATGGGATTTGTTGGTCCATTGGGCAGCAACTTATTGTACATTGGTCAGTGAAGCCTCAGTGGATCTTCAGATGGTGACAGAATGGTCAGCCGTAGCCTGTATTTGAGTTTCACAATGGATGGTGGGTGCTGTTGGTGGGATTACCATGATTGAAAGCCATTCAGCCAGGATAATGAGCGTATCAACACTCAGTAGTAACAGCTTGTTGATCATCGGACATAGTTCACAGTCACACTTAGGAAATCTATCATATTCTGAGAGTTGGACATCCTGTCTTCTTACACATTTCAAAGAATAATGAATACAGACCCTTGAAAGAATGTTTTCAGAAGGGTTGTATCTGGACCTGCTCAGTGGCTGATGTTCGACCCCTTCATCTACAGTTAGTGTCTGTGGAAATGCAAACTTGTAATTAAATGTTTCCCAATTCAAGTTAATATAGCTATGACTAATCTTTTCTCTTTCTTATGTTACATCTCAAATAAGAATGAAGATGCTTATTTTACATTATTGCATTGAATACAATGCTAGAATACCTCAAAATTTAGGACAATAAACAGTTTCCCTGCCAAGGTATCTTAGTTTGGAATCCCAGATAAATCTGTGGCAACCTGTCTGTCTGTATACCTTTCTGGAGCATCATCATCACCACTCTGTTCCTGCTTCTTTCACAACATTAGGCTGCCTGTTGGTACTTTCTACTGGTTGGGATAGGTTTTTGTGTTAATTTTTATAGGTAGAGTTGATGGTTGTTTTTTCAAGAAGTTATGAATATCTCTTTACAAGACTGTAACAGAAAAAAACCTGCCCTACTATTTATCCACTTTGCCTCTGGTGTTTACAAATCATTATCAAGATGAATCATAAATTCTGTTAGATGGATTTTTTTAACATTGATCAGTATCATGGTGTTATATTGGTGAAGGTTTTAGAACCAGAGAATTGGATATGAGATGAATATATGCGTGCAGTTTCTTTGCTGAGTATTGATAGAATTGAGTGTTCTTGTTTGAGATTCCTTTCCTTGGCCAGTGTTCAATATATTTTTTGTTAAGGTTGTGTTACTATGCCAACCGGATTGTCTTAATTTTCCCTGATAGAGTGGGCGAGTTAGTTATTGCCAAGAACAAAACAACTGGCAAAATGTTTTTGGAAACTGCTGCTTCAGAGTGGATCTTGATGTCAGTCTTTCCCATGGTTGATCAAGTAAGAAAATGTTGCATTTTTGCCCAGGTGATTTGTTGGTGTTTCTTGTATTTGTGATCACATGTTTGTGAGTAATGAGATAAATATCAACAATGCATGGGAATATCTCTGAAGTAACTCTTTCCGTGGAGTTTGTAAGCATGCCTTATCATGGAGTATAATTAGTGATGTGCACCTTGAAGAGGAAGTGAAACATTTTTCCTCATGCAGTTTGCCTGCTTTACATTATTTGTTTAGAGTTTATATGCAGCGGGTCTTTCATTCCTCTATTTGAGGAATGTAATGATGTGTATTGAATTAGGTGGAAATGTGAACACACATTCAGTAAATGATTTGTGAGGTGACAGTGAAACTACCTCCTGAACCGTGATCTCACATTCACACAGAATATGTCCACCCAATTCCAGCAACATTCCACTTATTATGAAGAATAGTTGGAGTCTAACCACCCGAGTGAGGCATGTAAACATGTTGGCCAGTAGTTTCTCCTGCCTGGCTTGTCTTCCATGGCCAGAGATGGAATGTAGGCATCTGTGTTGGTTGCAATTGATACAAATTATCCAGGTGTGACGGAATTCCCCATATTTTGACACATGAACACGTTGTTACAGTGCTTCTGAACTCAATGGCCTCAGATAATAGCTTCCAGTGTTGTCTGTCTATGAAAGAGATTTGCCTATAAGCTGTATACAAAATGAGTCTTTTCAGAAAAATGAATTTATAAAAACAAACTTGTTTAACAGGAACTTTCATAGCTTGAATCTATTTTAAGATCATGATGATGGCTTTTTATGTTAAAGTTTTAAAAGGCACACACAGTTGAAAGCCTTTGGGGTGTTATTTTAACAGAAGTAAAATGATTCAATTAGTTAAGTATTTGATTATGATTTTGTTTGTTGGGCTGCTGTACTGTGTTGAAAATAGGTACAGTGAAAAACGTATGAAAATAATCTTAGTAACATGTATGGATACATGCATGAATAAATACAGGTGTAAAGTTCAAACATTGTGCGATTTTGAGAATTTTCTACTTGCGGCATATGTGACATTTTGTCAGGAAATAGATAGGGTCCTGCATTTAAGTCGACAAAATAAGTCCCTGTTACTTCTTAATGAAACAGGTGCTTGTTGTCTGATGTGCCCATCTCGTCCACTGCTTCTAGTTCACCCAGTCTAGCAGACATAGTGGGAAGGTTGGGTTGTGGACAAAACACAGGTTCAACATGCCATGTCAGTTCTTCCCTAGTCCTCAACTACAAATTGAGGACCTCATTACAAATATTTGAATGTTTAGCTGGCCAAGTGTTAAGGATGGGATGGCTATTTCACAATAGGGTCAACATTCCTGTGAAAAACTAACCTGTTTCAATTGGTGGTATTACAGCAATTTCAGCATTTGCCTTTTGTGTGCAGCCAGGGAGTGAAACCAAGAGAATTCCATAATTAAACAAACAAGCCGAATAGTTTCTTAAGCTCCACCAGATGCACTCACCCAAAGGAAGGTGGTTCTGTTTAGAAGAGGGTTTACAACCAGAAACATGTTGGTGGTCAGTAATGATATGTTATTATGAAAGGGAAACATTAATGATGGTTGTAGCAGGAATGTTATGTGAGCCTTGGTAGGAAGGAAGAAGTTGTAGTAGACAGGAAGAAGGTATATTTAAGACAAGGCTGGAGTTGGTGCTAAACACATGCAGTATTTCATCTCAGAAGCCCACTTTAACTGATCATCTGTTTCGTTTCAGTGGCACATGGCATAAAGTATGAAATGTGTTTCAGTTAATTATTAAATTTGAGTTTAAAAAATGTATGAATAATTTTCTGATATGACAGTTTAAGGAATAAAATGTGATGTATAGTTATATTGTTGGATTGAGATTGATTAAATGCTTTAAGTATTGATACATTCAGTAAAGCATCATTTCCAGGGTGGGATGAATGATGTGTCAGTTACACCTGGTCATACAACATAGATATGCTGGTCTTTAACATCCCACCTTGGGGACATTCATCAATGTATAGTTGGTGTTGATTGGAGGAAATTTAGTCGCTTTAATCCACTGAAGTGTTTCTCAGTCTGCTATGGTAGGCATAAACATATTGTTGAAGGAGCCGAATGTTGTGACAAGTCTGATTTATGCAGATATTCAATTAAAACAGGTGACAACCAATCAGTAATAATAATGAATAATAACACCAGTGGTTTTGATTTAAAGAAAAGGAAACCTCTTGGAACGTCACACAGGGTCAGTGGATCAGAGTTTGTGGGGATAGATAATATATACTTCTGATAGCTCTAGATTGTATCTGTTGTTATTAAAATCCAGCCATAAACTTTTAGAATGATGAGAGCAAAGGGCTTGGGGTTGTTCTGTTGTCCCTGCTGCACAGACTCAAGTCTCCATAGGTGGTGGTTATCAGGCCTGATTTATGTGCACTGGGAGACAGGTACATTCCTTTCTCCTGAGACTTGACTTACACACTGATAAACACTGTCCATGCTGGTCATGTATTCAAGAGTGAAAGTCTGCCTGTATAATCAGAGCCAAAAGCTGTTATTTCTCTAGTTAGTGTGTGGCATTTTTAGCTCAACTAAATGACTTTCAATTGACCTTGTGTCTGTTTGTCCGTCATCCGTCGTCAGTTGTCTGTCATGCGTCATAACCATCCCTTTAGAAACTACTGAACCAATGAAGATGAAATTTCACATACTTGTTCTCACCAATGATGATACCCCAATTTGTTGGAGAGGTTGGAATAAGATTTTCAATATGGCCATTACAGTCATTTAAGTACAGAATGTTGTTAATTTTATGATATGTATAATTAGTAGTGGTGCTCAACATATTTGGCAAAAATTTAAATTTTGATGTTGATTTTACCTTTCCATAATGATGACACTGAGACCTGAAACTTCTGATGGTCATTACTCCAACCTGTAATTTAAAATTAAATGAAATTTGTTACATGTATTGTTAAAATTGGGGCTGAGCATAACTCTTCTGTTTTCTTGATGTTTGGAATTTAGTGCCTTTATTTGACCTTTGGACCTGACCACTTATTTTGTACATAAATTTTTTTGGGGGTGGGGTCATCCACATTGTACATGCTTCTCCATAAAAAATCATCACTGACACCCACTCACCTCTCCCCTAGCCATTAATTATGAACGGTCCCTAAATCAGTGTACAGATCAGTACAAGTCACGCCATTTGATACTGTCCATTCTTTGTTTTATGCTCTGTTGGAATGGTTAACATCTGATTTTATTGTTATGGCTTGGCAATCATTGATTGCCACTTTGTAGCAGGCACACATGTGACCTAGTAGCATTTACAGGTAATTTTGTCCAATTATGTGAGTCAATGAGGCATGCAGGTGAGATATGGATCCCTTGATAGGTGCAGGCATTGTAAGGCTCTTGTGAAGACACTTGATCTCCACATAGCTCCCTATAGCACCACCACCTGAAATGGCTCAGTCTGACAGCTGGAAGGGCCAGCTGTTAGGAGAGGCTGCATGGACTCGTCACTAATACCTGTGGAATTAGGTAGTCCATTTACATTTAGAAGTAGGGTGTTATTTCATTGCAGTTTCCTAAAAATCCATTAGCTGTAAAGTGCATATGAGTACAGATGCTTAGGTTTAGAGGTAAATGTTGATTTTATGCCCAAGGCATTTCCTGTTTGTCTAATCCTATGATTGTATGAAAGACAAGTACACAGAGTTTGATTTGTGATGTAAGAGGTGAGGCTGCACATTGATCAACTTTATGTTGACTTCGGCAAGAACTGATTGACAGTTTCAAATGAAGAAAATAAAGAAATATTAGATCTGCAATTTGTTAATTGCTCTCAACTTTGTTTCAGTCTAATGGGAATGGTTATGCTGATGGACATGGGCTGGTTACCATCAGGATGACACCAGACGACTTGGGCAGGTTCGGCTTCAATGTCAAGGTCAGTGTACATACATCAGTCACACAAATATTGATAATTGCATTTTTGAAGCAGATTAAAAAGGTTTTGGTTTAGTTTTGTTTTGTTACATATGTAAACATTTACCACAGAAATATATGTAAATGCCTGCCTAGTCTTGCCTGGAGTGCACAATACCTGTGCTAAGTGTGTATTAATAGAAAAATGAGGAACATCAAACTTTTTTTAAGAGCCAACCCAGCTTACACACTTTTCCTAAGTGCTGGTGCTGAAGATTTTGACCAGGGCATGCCCCAGGCCACCTCAGTACTGGAGTATGTGTCGCTGCTACGTGCTATTCCTTTTTTACCCAAAGTGCTGGAGTTGCCACAAGTAGGTGCTGATTGTAGCATGCTCATCATTGTGTCCCAGATTGTCCAAGACACTGGAGTATATGTTCCTTGTATTTGCTACATGTCTTACCTTAAGTGCTGATGTTGCAGGAAGGTGCTTACCAAGGCATGCCTATTATCATGTCCCAGATTGTCCAAGACACTGGAGTATATGTTCCATATATCCACTGCATGCCTTTTTGCCTTACCTTAAGTGCTGATGTTGCAGGGAGGTGCTGACCAAGGCATGCCCATCATTGTGTCCCGGGTTGCCCCGGGCACGCCTGCGGATATCGCCATACCTAGACTCAATGAGGGAGACCAGGTTCTCTTCATCAACGGCAGAGATGTCTCACAACATACACATGAACAGGTGAGCAACCACATCTTCCTTAACCGTTACAATCATTAGGAGTGAGGATGTTGCAAGATTCTCATGCGGAAGCCTGATGATTCTTGTCCAGCTGAAAGCTTGAATCAGTTTTTCAAAGTAGGTCATTGTCTTTTCCTGCCAAGCTGAGCTTCTAGTCCAGGGGAGATAATCTACATTTGATGTTTACATGTTTTAGTCGGAGTGTTGATGGTGTTTAGCACTGATCTGTGTTTACTGTTCCAGGTGGTGATGTTTATCAAAGCTTCTCGAGAAACTCACTCTGGAGAGCTGGTGCTGGTTGTCAGACCAAATGGTATGTAGATAGCTGTCACCACTGTATCTCAGTGTGATCAATCTGGGACACACATGATGTCACCAGATCCTGCAGAAATGAGACGTACATAATCTAGTGTGGTTTTACTATCTCACAGCATGCAAATCATATAGTCCTATGATCATATATTTTAAGGTGCAAAAACTTATATTGATGAAACTCCAAAATGTTTGTTACTCTTTAACAGGTATTGTGAGATATTAAGATGTTCAATGTGTAATCAAAAATATCATGTCGTCAGTGACAAATGTTATGAACCATAAATGTTTTAGTTAAATATTTGTGAAAATGTAAAACTTCTGATTGTTAACATTCCAAGTTGAGTAGATCAAGTCTTGCAGGTCCAAGTCCAGTAAGAGTGTTCTGTTGTGTACATGGCATTGTGGCTTCAGAATATAGTGTAAGAGAAGACAGTCCCTGCATTGTATGGTGCTTGATTGTTGCAGTGTATGTGGGGGAGGACCAGTCGGAGGAACCTGACTTCACCTACATCCCAGAGACCCACCAGATAGCCAGCTCCTCCTCCAGCGCCAACACACTCGAGTCCTCACTCATGCTGCTGCAGGAGAGCCTGGAGAGTGGGGCTGCACTGGCACAGTTCGAGGTATGACACTGTATGACACTGCATGACAATACATAGTGCCAGTGTCGCATCTCCCAGCTCTTGTCACTAACTGGATCCAAATGAAAGCAGTTTCAAGCTTGCCATGTTGTCAAGTTTGCATTAGTTCCAAATATTGAGATAGTCATTGTTTCAAATGATGCTATGAAAACATTCAATAACCTCACATGGGGAGAACTAAGTGCCTAACTGAGAGAAGAAAAATGGAAAAGCAAACATTGAGGACCTTCACAATGATAAGTGCTTGTTTGAGTGCTCAAGATGGCCGTCCATTATTTTCTTGATTTCCTCTGCAATCATGTTCAATATATGAAAGAATATATTTCCCAAGGTTGGAGATATATGAGGTTTTTCCAGCCTTTCACGTGTGTAGAAAGCAAGGGAAGTAAGATGCATATTACTTGCCAAAACTAATCATGGATAGTTGGGGGTGAAGAGGACTTCTCTTATGAATTATTTTTTGTTTTGGGTAGTGTGAAGACAAACTAATTAGGTATTGATATATTCAGTACTCTTTATTTTATTTTCAACAGTGATAGCTATTGTTTTATGGGTCTGAATTTCAGCAATTGTACAGGAAAAAGCCTAATATGACCATGAATGCTGCTCGGAATGAAAGTAACATCCCCAAGAACAGATACAGGGATATTTCACCATGTAAGTATCTTCAGTCCTTGAGGGGAGTGGTGGGCTAGGCAAGTGGTTAAAGTGTTCACTCATCATGCTGAAGACCTGGGTTCGGTATCCCGCATGGGTACAATATGTGAAGCCCATTTCTGTTTCCCCCGCCGTGATATTGCTGGAATATTGCTAAAAGTCCCATAAAACCATACTCACTCACTCAGTCAATCCTTGAGACTGACTCCGTCAAAACTGATAATCATGATGATTATTTGGAGATAAGTAGCACTACTGTTCATGTATAATGAGAAAGGCAATTTGGTTTCTTTTGAAATTGACTGGGTTGTCCTTCCTTTCAGATGACAAGACGCGAGTTGTATTGAAAACGGGGACATCAGGGGACTATATAAATGCTAACTATGTCAATGTGAGTTATGACATATCTTTTCACTGTTTTCTGTGTTTTTCTGTCATTACATTTCTATTCTGTACAATAAAGGTAATATCTGTTTCATGCAAGTCCAATGCTTCTAAGCATTTATCATATTTATCATCAGGTTGAAGCTAAGGAATATTTGCTGATAAAGTAAACCATATAAGAATGTAACTGTGATACCTGTGTTGATACTAGAGGTTGTTGTGATGCTAAGGCTTGTTGTCGTCTAGATGGAGATCCCGGGTTCTGGGATTGTCAACCGGTACATCGCAGCTCAGGGGCCTCTCCCAAACACCTGTACAGATTTCTGGCAGGTGAGTCACCCCTCCTACTCTGTCTGTGCTCAGTTAGGACAGGAAGATGTTATTTGCTTACTCATATAGACAGGATGAGGAACAAGTGTAATTGATAAATATGATACTAAATATTTAAATTTAAATTGTATTGATATTACACTGTCATGAAATGTTTAGCAGTATATGGTTCTATTCTTATATTACATTTTGTATGAAGCTAGTTATCCAGTACCCTCCAAAGGGGAAGATGTGATGCTACAATCAGAAAGTATATGAAGGACTGTCTCTGCATCCTCACGTCTTGTTATCTGTTATCTTCAGTAGTCTTGTGTTAGTAGGTACAAGTAGTGCAAGGTCTTCTACTGAAACCATTGTGAAGAAGTGTCACCTCAACATAAAAAATCCACATGATAGTAGAGTTTTCAAATGCTATTTTCTGTTCTGATATAGCTCTCAGTTTCTTCATTTATAAAATACTGGTGGTAGGGTAGCCTAGTGGTTAAAGTGTTCGCTCGTCACGCTGAAGACCCAGGTTCGATTCACCAGATGGGTATAATGTTTGAAGCCCATTTGTGGTGTTCCCCAGCCATGATAGTGCTGAAATATTGCTAAAAGTGGCATAAAACTAAACTCACTCACTCACTTTTCAAAATATTTTCAAAGTCCAACCCATGCACCATTCCTCTTGATCCAGAGATGCTCATGAAAGTTGTTTCCTTGCTACAGATGGTGTGGGAGCAGCACTCCTCACTGGTTGTGATGCTCACTACCAAGGTGGAGCGAGGACGGGTCAAGTGTCATCAGTATTGGCCAGAGCTGTATGAGACAGAGGACTTTGGTGCATTACAGATCACATGTGTGAAGGAAGAGGAGACTCCTTCATTTGCATTCCGCGAGTTTAACCTTACACATGTAGAAACCAGTGAAGAGAGACATATCCGACACATGCAGTATATAGCATGGCCGGACCATGGGGTCCCTGATGACCCAAGTGATTTCCTGGAATTCGTCATGAAAGTGCGACAGAACAGATCTGGCATGGTAGAACCGACGATAGTGCACTGCAGGTTAGTTTAGCTAACTTTGTAGTCAGGGCAGACTTACTTGCATGTCCTCAGCAGAATCAATGACCTTCAATTGCAGTAGATTTCTTAAACAATAATATATTTTGGATAGCAACATTTTGCGTACAATATTTATTGGGAATTCTGAAAACTTGTTATAATTATTATCCCTGTATGTTTCAGTGCTGGTATTGGCCGTACAGGCGTGCTGATCACCATGGAGACTGCGATGTGTCGTGTGGAGGCCCGCCAACCTGTCTACCCTCTCATTGTTGTGAAAGAGATGAGAGACCAGAGGGCGATGTTGATTCAAACAGCTGTAAGTCATCAACTTCTGGTCTGGTACTCTGGTATTGAAGTATTACTCTCTCATTTGGGTAAATGTCAGTACAATGTGTATATATGCTTCTGCTAAACTGTTTTTTTACATTCATGATTTCAGAGTCAATACAAGTTTGTCTGTGAAGCAATCCTCCGGGTATATAATGGTGAGTAGTATTTCACATGGATGACGTTGCCAGCTCTGCATGTATATAGTGTTCCAAGGTCTGTGTAGGATAAATAGCCTCCAATGGCATAACTTCAGCAACATTTTGAATAACTGAGATCAAATGGTGTATTTCATACGTAAATTCATGTCATATGTAACAACTAAACACGCATGTGTTAATATAAGACCCATGTCCGTGATTAAAATGCATGACCTTTATCTAGTTTCTGAATGACAACTTTAAGAAAAGCAGTGTCCTTAGAACATTTTAACCTTGTAGATGCCATCGGTGTTCCATAACAAAAGGTTTCTGGATAGATAAAGATATGTTAAGCTTTGAAGTTAGCTCCCTTCTGCTAACATGCATGCAACTCTGGCTTTAATCCTTCTTTCTGTACCTTGTCATTGTTTCAGAAGGCCTGGTAAAGCCATCAGAGGACTATCATAGGTGAGGCTGGAACAGTGTTTGTGTGGACAGTTGGATACTATTATTGGCTGGTGTGCTGTGTGAACAGGCAGAAGGTTGGAGAGTGAGAGAAGAAATCGGTTCTGAGGTGTTGTGTGTTGGATGTGACTGTCACGTGGTCACTGCACTGCCTGAACTTTCGATTGCAACAGAAGTCGTTGAGGAGCAGACACTTGAGGGTGAACTGAAACATATTATTTTTGTACAAAAATGGTGATTTTGTAAACAAAAAAGTGCTCAAAGATGCCATTGCCTTGTTATATGAAAGGTAACTTAAAATCACCAAAAGGCCAGTGTATTGTTTTACTTTGGGGTGTTTTCTGAGTGATTCTTACATATCAGGAGTCTACCCTTGTCATTAGCAGACATGTTTGTTGTAGCAGATAAGACGTACAGCCTGCTCACAGGGCAAGGATGTACCTGTAACATATCAAAGTTGTACCACAGTATAGGGAGACCACTCATGTATGCTGCACCACAGCTTCGGTAACCAGATGAGGAGTCAAACAGTGTATCTCCACAAACTTTGAATTACCACACAATGCGAGCTCAGCAAAGGGAGGCACCTCCTGTAATTCATCCTCATCATTCCTGCCGTACTGTCAGTCAGCTCCTTGCTCAAAGACTACTGGTGAATGTTGCCTAGTATAGATTGAAGCTTGACTTTCACAGACCAAGTTGGTAATGTACAAGGTAGGACAAGAAGCATCTCCCAGACAATGTATCCCCTTCAACAATGGACACCAAGGCATCAATAAGTACCACAGAGTAGTTGTGTGCAAACAGATTGCAGCATTGCCATACATCGTCCAGTGTGACATGCCTGCTGCATGGGAAGGGAGCTTCATGACATATGCCAATGTTGAGTGCAGCACGGAACAGACCCTGCATTTGCAAACCTGACTGCCTTTACAACATCGTTGTTGTCGTACGTTGTTCATACAAGTATTGATGGATGTGTAACAACTGGAATGATTGCCTCATGCTACCAGAGCATCTTAGTTGGATTACTGTACCTGAATGGATGCTGCTCACGGTGTATGCTTTAGTCTCTTTCTGGTTTATTCTGGCCTGCTTTACATGAAGCCTTCAGCCATTTCCCATATTTCCCTGAATGTAACTATGGGAATGTCGAGTACTGAACTTCAGTCAACTGAATTGTTATTCATAGTGGAGACGGAGCATCTACAAGCATTTTACTGTGTACTTCTACGAAGAAAGTGTTTTTATGTGTGCCCAGCTTGCTGCCATGTGCAGAAGTGTGGGTATTGTTGTAGGTGGATGGATGAATGACGATGTGTAGATTGAATCACTGGGACGTTTATCTGTCATTGTATATAGAGTCAAGAGAGAATATTTTAAATTTGAAGTATTTATACATTTTGATGTAAGGAGAGATGTGTTTTCTACCATATTCAGCAATAGATTTCTAGGAGGGGGACAGGCTTTGCGCCATATCCTGTCTCCCACCCTGGTTTTAATCACTTGGTGTGATGTATGTCATTTGTTCCTATTCTGCTAGTACTGGTACCCCTATGGCACCACAAGGACTTCAATCCAGTCAGTGGATATGAGTGACTTGTAGGCACTATCAATAATATTTAGAGATGAAAAACTACAATGTCTACTGTCTTTATAAGTACACTAATTTGTATTCCTTATCATTAAAATGATAAAAATGACAATATAACAGTCAAGATGCCATGGGTGTACCAGCATATTCCTTGCTTAATTAGCTTCAGGCATGCCTAGTTGACAATCATGCCGTAAGATCAACACTCAGCTCAAGAATGTTTTGTATGTTTAATTCCACCCTCTGTTTCAACATTTTGGGTCAAATTAGAATTGTGAAATTTCTCAGTTGGTCTAAGGTACTACTGAAACAAAGTGTGTATGAAGTATAGTGTTTGTGCCATGGTGTATCAGGACATCTTAATCATCAAGCATACTGTGCATTGACAAGCTTTTTACACTAAACAGACTCTGTACAAGAGTTTGAATACTGATTTGCAAAATGTTTTCAAATTTCCATTGCTGTTTTCAACAACGTAACAACAGAAATTGACAGGATGGTTGTAAATCTGAAACATTAAGATATTTTTAGTATATGAAAATACATTTCTGTCTGTTTCTACCACTCATATGTATTTCTAATACATTGATTGTTTGCTTGGCTGTTAAAGAGTTACCTAGAGTGTTGGTCAGTGACCTAGGCTGCTGTATGCTAGACTGTCTGCCTGATGACATTCCTCTGTTGTCTGGCTGTGTATCATAACTACCAGAAAATAGTAAAGGAAACTTGTATTTATGAACGATTGCATTTGTTGAAGTCAAGCTGAACTAGTATGTGTAGCAGCGACTCTGTTGCTTGTTTCTCTGCAGCTGTGTAACATGTTAATACTGGATAATTTATTGTGTATCTGCCGGCTGGCTGGCTGGCTGTCTGCATGCATGGAGGGAGGGACGGACGGGAGGGGGAGGTCTTGTAACAATGGTGCCATCCATACTAAACTTATTCAAAATGTAACCAAAATTATTTTAGCAGTCAGTCTTGACAGAAATATGAAGCTGGAACTGACTTTAGTATATTTTCACATTTCGATTTAAATCATGAATTTGTCAGATTATTCCATGTTGAACATAATATACTGAGAGAAGCAAATAAAGGAACACAGGAAAATTCAAGCGTTCCTTTAATATTTTCCAGTGTTCATCACCAGCTTTGAATAGCGCTGTGGGAGGAAATCAGAGATTAGATAAAGGAACACAGCCATGAAGTGGTGTTCCCTTATTTATTTCCCTCAGTATATTCTGGCCAAACAGTTGATTGTTCCACATCGGATAAGGACTGATTTAGGTGTAGCATACTTTGATTATACATGATACCTTCAAGTGCAATGACTGCAAAATGACTTTGTGACTAACAGCATGTATAGATGGCCTCAACAGTTGTGATATTGTGCTCAGAGGTGTAGGGAAGTTGGAGTTACTTCTCTCTTTATTATAGTTGTACTTAATGAAAATCTTAATCTAATCATATTCTATCGAGTTTGTTGAGGGGAGACAAATATGTTATAACACTGCTGTTACTTTTTAAACTGTGTGGAAGTTGTTTTTTTAAATGATATTGTGAGAAACTCAACATTGAAAACTACCAGAATAATTGTTCTGTCAGTGAGACAAGTTGCACGAATCTTTTTACAGCTTAAACTTGTCAAAATGATAAGTTACCACATTTTCTTTTGATGAGCACAATATGAAAGGAAGGTGTTGTTGATTAAAGCAGCCTGTGGGCTGTGTTCCAGCTTGCCTAGCCTCTGACACAACTCTCATTCCCTTGTCTTATACCAGATTTTTAGAGATGTTAAAGACAGTGACATTAGGTGTTATGTAGCTTACAGTGAGAATGAAGTGCATGGAGTCACTGTTTGAGGGTACTCAAGTCAGGTATAATGAGAGATGTTAAAGACATTACAATAGGTGTTATGTAGCTACAATACAGTGAGAATCAGTGCATGGAGTCATGCAGGGTACCCAAGTAGGAGACTGAGAGATGTTAAAGACAGTGTGGTGTTATGTAGCTTACAGTGAGAATCAGTGCATGCAGAGTCCTGCAGGGTACCAAGTAGGAGACTGAGAGATGTTAAAGACAGTGAGGTGTTATGTAGCTTACAGTGAGAATCAGTGCATGGAGTCATGCAGGGTACCAAGTAGGAGACTGAGAGATGTTAAAGACAGTGAGGTGTTATGTAGCTTACAGTGAGAATCAGTGCATGGAGTCATGCAGGGTACCAAGTAGGAGACTGAGAGATGTTAAAGACAGTGAGGTGTTATGTAGCTTACAGTGAGAATCAGTGCATGGAGTCATGCAGGGTACCAAGTAGGAGACTGAGAGATGTTAAAGACAGTGTGGTGTTATGTAGCTTACAGTGAGAATCAGTGCATGGAGTCATGCAGGGTACCAAGTAGGAGACTGAGAGATGTTAAAGACAGTGAGGTGTTATGTAGCTTACAGTGAGAATCAGTGCATGGAGTCATGCAGGGTACCAAGTCAGGAGACTGCAGGGAGAGATGTTAAAGACAGTGTGGTGTTATGTAGCTTTACAGTGAGAATCAGTGCATGGAGTCATGCAGGGTACCAAGTAGGAGACTGAGAGATGTTAAAGACAGTGAGGTGTTATGTAGCTTACAGTGAGAATCAGTGCATGGAGTCATGCAGGGTACCAAGTAGGAGACTGAGAGATGTTAAAGACAGTGAGGTGTTATGTAGCTTACAGTGAGAATCAGTGCATGGAGTCATGCAGGGTACCAAGTAGGAGACTGAGAGATGTTAAAGACAGTGTGGTGTTATGTAGCTTACAGTGAGAATCAGTGCATGGAGTCATGCAGGGTACCAAGTAGGAGACTGAGAGATGTTAAAGACAGTGTGGTGTTATGTAGCTTACAGTGAGAATCAGTGCATGGAGTCATGCAGGGTACCAAGTAGGAGACTGAGAGATGTTAAAGACAGTGAGGTGTTATGTAGCTTACAGTGAGAATCAGTGCATGGAGTCATGCAGGGTACCAAGTAGGAGACTGAGAGATGTTAAAGACAGTGAGGTGTTATGTAGCTTACAGTGAGAATCAGTGCATGGAGTCATGCAGGGTACCAAGTAGGAGACTGAGAGATGTTAAAGACAGTGAGGTGTTATGTAGCTTACAGTGAGAATCAGTGCATGGAGTCATGCAGGGTACCAAGTAGGAGACTGAGAGATGTTAAAGACAGTGAGGTGTTATGTAGCTTACAGTGAGAATCAGTGCATGGAGTCATGCAGGGTACCAAGTAGGAGACTGAGAGATGTTAAAGACAGTGTGGTGTTATGTAGCTTACAGTGAGAATCAGTGCATGGAGTCATGCAGGGTACCAAGTAGGAGACTGAGAGATGTTAAAGACAGTGAGGTGTTATGTAGCTTACAGTGAGAATCAGTGCATGGAGTCATGCAGGGTACCAAGTAGGAGACTGAGAGATGTTAAAGACAGTGAGGTGTTATGTAGCTTACAGTGAGAATCAGTGCATGGAGTCATGCAGGGTACCAAGTAGGAGACTGAGAGATGTTAAAGACAGTGAGGTGTTATGTAGCTTACAGTGAGAATCAGTGCATGGAGTCATGCAGGGTACCAAGTAGGAGACTGAGAGATGTTAAAGACAGTGAGGTGTTATGTAGCTTACAGTGAGAATCAGTGCATGGAGTCATGCAGGGTACCAAGTAGGAGACTGAGAGATGTTAAAGACAGTGAGGTGTTATGTAGCTTACAGTGAGAATCAGTGCATGGAGTCCTCGGACAGTAACTCAAATGAACTTGTGCATAAAATGTGTCAAAGATTTCCATGCCATATGAAGTGAAAAGAAACACGACCAAGAGTACCATGACGTAATCTAGTTTATTTGATGATGGTAAAGATTTGGAAAATGATGTCATTTCATGCACAAAACATTACGAATTTCCTTCTGGGTAGAACTTAAATTGAGCATTCTTCCACATACTTGAAACATAATTGGTTCTCTTGATCTTTGAACTAATGATACTCAACAAAGAAGAAAGACAGCAGCATTTGTTCCATTGATTTTGTATAAAGGACCAAGGCCTGGTTCATATTTCTATTTGAACAAACTATGGCAAACACCATAAACACTGAACAGGCTTGGTTATGTGTACAACGCACATACAAACTTCACATCCTGAAGCAGCATGTGAAGGTACCTCCTCTGTGTTTCCTAGACATGCAATTGCCAAGTTAGCTATGCAGATACAGCCACAGGAATCTCCACGATTTGACAATATCTTTGTCTGCTTTAGCCCTTTCATACATCAATGCCATACTCTGCATGCCTTGGCTATATTTTGGATGGACCAGGTGGACCCCATGAACTGACAGAGACTGGTGTTCTTTCATGTGGATCCTTGAACGGTTCATGGGAGGTAAACACTACAATCTATGCTCTTGCAAACCTTTACATCGATTGTAGTGTTTACCTCCAATACTATCTGCTGCATTTTAGAAACTTCACTTCAAGAAATTCTTGTCTGAATACTCTCTTCCTCAAAATGTCATTATAGAATTGGAGACTTTCTGGATCTGCATCAGAAAGGACTCTGATAGAGGTCTTGGAATCAGAGGAGGTTACTGCATTTCTCAACGACTATGACCAGTTCCTGAATGAGACACGATCTGGAACTCATGGCAAAACAGCCCAATACTGGACAATGTCCATTGATCTGGTCAATCTGTACCTAATGTTCCGCAGAACTTGTAGCCACAATCAATTATTTTAAAATCGGGTTACATAAGCTTTGAAAGCAAACGGGGTTTGGACTGGATTTAAATGTAGCCGTAATATTCGGCGACGACTTTATGGAGTGGGTCTGCCATGAACTCGTCAAGTAAGCTATGGAGTAGGATGAGTACAGGGCGGTGCGTTCCCTGGTTGTCAGGCTATAATCGATTAACGTATCCATGGGACGTTGTAACCGGACGTTGTAACCGTACGGTGCCCATGAGACCTAAACTGTCGTACTGGCTGGTGAATTTCCCTCGACTTATGACTCGACACAGGGCGGCGTAAATATCGAGGCCACAGACGTCCACCCCAACGTGTCTGAACAACCATTTCTCGATCAATCTCCACATGTTGATAATGAGATACATAAGACGAATCTTTAATAAGAAGGGGGCAATACCGTGTCGTGAGGCACTGTCATCAATTCCTCTCGGACGAATCCCCTACCCGGTCCGTCTTGCAAGTAATACAAATTCGGTTTGTCGTCTTTGATGTCCACTCGGTCGACATGGTACGTTTTAATGGACCATACAGGGTCTGTGGCATGACATTTGTCCCCTCCTTCGAGTTCACCGGGCTGGTACAGATACCTCACGACGACCTGGTCCGTGGTTTTTTCTCTCGGCCGTGACGCGATGGCACAGCCAATTGGGTCGTCACAGATTTCATTCGAATGGCTTTGACGGGTCTTTTATCGAGGAGTCGTTGTTGATCGCCGACACCACTCGTGGTAAGCATACGACCCATTCCGTCGATCGTTTTTCTGGGTTCACCATCTCTCGGGCATACTGATGTCCGAACATACGCTCGGCTAAAGTCCTGTTGAATCTTTCGATGATTGGCGGCTACGGTGAGCTCCGGCCACGCCTCGTCTCACCTGCACTTCATGCTTCGATAACAGCTCCAACACGGCTCCCATGACCTCGCGTCCGGGATCTACATGTAATTCCGTCGGCCAGGTCAAGCGACTGCATTTGTAGATACGTTCCAAGGCCTTGGCAACTTGACTCGAATCTTTGGTCGTTAACGGCTCCGCTTCCTTGTAGCGACTGGCAACATCCACGACGGTCAGGTCGTACTTGTACATTTTGTTTCTCACCTTGTCGTGCGGGAGAAACAGGAGGTCGGCTTGATGGGTACGATTGGGTACGGAAATGTCAAACTTTCTTCTCGGGATGTATCGGGGAGCCGACAAGTACACTTGCCAAATCGCTTGTTTTTTAAGCCAAGCTTTGGCAGTATCCTCGGAGACACAAGTGGCTTTGGCTAGCTTAGGGATGGCGCCTACACCTTTCCAGTAACCCCGAGGGCTGTAGTAAACCTTCTCCATGATGTATACACGCTATTATCCATTCAATAGTCTGTCTAGACCACGACTCATACAGTGGCGTTTCCTTTAGTGGGGGTATCGGAAACACCCAACGAGTCGAGGTCTATAGCTATAAGTGTGGATGCCATCGTTCGCAATCCATTGTTTGGTATCCATGGGCGACAGCGAGGTCTTGTTGAGGGTGATGCCGTAGATGTTGCGTTTGTCACTTCTCAACGCGTTCATGGGGTGTTTGAACGTGCGTTTATCGAAGAGAGCCTGACGGTGTGTTTGATGAGTTGTTTCACCACGTATTTCTTGACCCCTTTCACCTTTTGGATCTGGCTGTTGTCGGCTTCAGGATGGAATACACCTTGGGTCTCAATCCGACATATTCGGTGATGGGTGTCCGCGCATTTGTCCTTCATCTTGCTGAGGACCTTTTTATTGGTCGTGCTGTGTAGGGCGTGGTCTGGGGGGTAATCGCTGGTGTCGTACAAGTGGCTGTGTTTCGCCATGTCCTCGTACACGTCCTCGGTACGAATTTCCATGAGCAGTGAATCCGTGTCCGTGTTCATCACTTCACATCGATCGCCGTATTGATTTTTTAACTC